AAAAAAAAAAAAAAGTACAGAGAGGCAACATATGAAGATTTTACCTGGGATCTGATTGGCTAAAACACTTCCTTAGGGCTAGTTGCCATAGTTTCTTGCTACAAGACTTAAAACTGAACTCATGAACTGAATGAAACAGATTTCAGCATAATTGAACTGAAATTGCCTTTTTTTGCGTTGATGTTATCGTTGTTGATCTTGATGCTGGGAACTTGTCCCAGTCCACAGAGGAAAAAAAAGGAACCAGCGGACAAACTGCGCTGATCCTGGGTCAAAGTAGGCGACAAGTCAAACACACCATGGACTCCAGTGTTTTAGTTGCCATCTTCGCCCCCCGGTCTCATCCTGTGTTCTCCATCAGTCTCTAGAAGGCAGCAGGACTGGACGGGGCTCAGGAGGAAATTCAGAGCATTTTCAACAATTAATCATTCACTTAAATGTAGTTTTTGGGGTGGGTGAGGGTGAAGGGGAGGAGGAACTTTAAATGTGCCATTGACACAGACACTGCAAGGATGTATCGATGTTATAAGTTGCTGTGTTACTTTAATTTGCTGTCTTAACTCGGTTCGTCCTCCGTCATCTCAACCTAACGAAAGCACACGATGGCTACAGAGCAGCCATGGATATCTCAGCAATACAGCCCCTCCTCTCTACCGACAACGACTCATTCAGAGAAGAAGAAGAAGAGCAGGGAGGAGGGACGAAGGAGGAAGAACTGTCACTCACATGAGCATTTAAGGACAATTACGAAGCTCCTACTGGTCCATGATGGTGTAGCAGCGTGCTTCACCGATCTCATCTCTTCAAACTCATTTGTCAGTTGCCACGTGTGAACAGTTTTTTTTTGTTACTGAATGAGATTGTTTGTGCCTGAGACAAAAAGAAAACTTATGTAAGAGTGTTCCACGTGTGAGTGTCGGTGAGCGAGTGAAAATATTTGAAATGGTACTAACAGCCTGAAAATACATCAACATACTGTACATTGTTTAAGTATGAAAATGCAAAATAGTAAAGAAAAACACAAAAAAAAATCCAAAACACAACTAAAGCAACAAGTAATACATACAAACCAAGTGCTTTGGTGGGAAGGTACGGCAACTCAAACTTCAAACAACCAGTCGGTTGCTTCAGAATAGCGTTTCCATAGCAACTAGCACCTTATTCACCATGGTTACCCTACCCTGCCAATGATAGACTCTAGTAGGGCATGGCTTACCATTGTAGCTGATAACAATGATGAAGGTGATGATTCTGATAATGGACTGTGAGCTGACCGTTGGCCAACAGCGGCGCCACGTGAGACGTTCAAGTACCCGTGTAAATGTCACAATGGACACAGAATGGAATTCCAATATCTGCCGAGGTGAAATGTGATGTAAGCATTTTTACAAACTTGAAGCTCAGTTTTATTTGTGGGCTCAGTTTTCTTTGTGGTTTTATTATTTTTTTAATGTCTTTTTTATGATTATGTTGTTGAGTTTGTTGTGGTGTAACATTGGTTTTCTTAAGGGTGGAGATGGAGGAGTTTAAAATATGGTGGGTTGAGCCATACGTAAACCTGGGTCGCACTCTGTGGATCTCTTACCCAAGGGCCTTTTTGGTTTCTTGAACTTTGATTATTTACTCAGCCTGTGAGATATTGTAATCTGATGTCTGTAGCTCTAGCTCAAGTTTGAAACTTTGACAGTCAATGTTATCGAAGTGCATCGTGGGAATTGTAGGATGCAGCATTTTTGATGGCACAAACCTGTACAAGAGACAATATGAAAAGATATGTTGATCCCTGCATTACAAATTTAGATACTTTTTCCATCTGTTTCTTTTGCAATACTAATATTCAAAGGAAAACCATTTAAAACCAAGCTCCGTCTTCATCAGAACTTGTTAGGAGGGTGCATATGTCCGGTCCAGGATGCCATCATATACTTTTTAGAGTCACAAATAAGTCAAATTATCCAGTTATTCACAGTATAAACCACAATGTGTGTGTGGCAAGTGCAACCAATCAGCCCACTAGATTCATAGGAATGTATTAACTGTTGTGCCCCTAACAAGAGTTTATTTTCATGTAGACAAACAAGGATTCTATAGATTTGGAGCGTCATTGAGTTCATGGACTAAAGCACAGCGTGGAACCAGTCCAGGTGTAGGTATGGCTCCTGATGGGAGGGAGAGGTCAGAAAGGTTTGGGTTCTGGTGTGAAGGGGAGGGGATGAAGTGTGTGAGGGTAAATCACACTTCAAGAAGTTGCACTTAAGAACTTAGACACGAGAGCAAGGAAGTGTGTGTGTGTGTGTGTGTGTGTGTCTGTGCGCGCCTATCATCTGAATGTGTGTGTCTGACAGGGAGAAGAATCTGACATAATTTCTGTTCATTTGGCAACGTCATGTGTGCAGGAGCTTTAGCATGAGATGCTGTCTGTCTTGGTGTGTACATGGTGTTAGTGTGTGTACCTGTGAGTGAGTGAATGAGCGAGCGAGTGAGCAACAGTCTCATTGTTCCTGCTCTTTCCATTTGTGTGTGTGTGTGTGTGTTTGAGCGAGTGCGACCAATTGTTGTCTGGCAAAACAACAAAAGCATTTAATAGTGTTGGAAACAACCATTTACAATCATGTTTACCTTTGACTGGAATGACTTTAAATGAACTTGAAAATAAACTGTAAACTGAACAAACCATAACAGAGGTTATAACAATGATCATGATAACAAAAATAATAAGCTTACAAATCTTACTTTTAACAAGGCGTGTGTTTGGCTCTTTATTTCTAATCTGCCCTGCACCCTCCCCGCTCTGTCTGCCTTCTGAGGGGGAAAAAAGCAATAAACATGGAGCTAATCCAAGACAACAGATGGAGGGGTTGCAGGGAAGGTTTTTACCTGGTATTCAGTTCTCTGTAGATAATGTTGTTTGTGAGCTCACAGATGTGATTTTTCCATATCAAAGCTGCTGTTGCGACGCGCTCCCTCAGCAGTAATACCTTTACACACTCCGATTAGGAGAGATAAGCACTTCAATCACCAGCCCCACATTTGAATGACAATGGGACAGTCCAGCAGCGTGTGCACCTGCACGTCCAGACCGGCTGATGGGGGGATAAAGCCACCTCTGATGTCACAGCAAAGCCAGGCTCATTGTCTGTGATCTTATGCAACAGGTCTGTCGTACAGGCGAAGTTACATATACTCCACTGACTGACAGGACGGGGAGCACAATCGACAGATGGAGGGCAGCAGATAGACGTGAGGTTGAGACATGGAAGATGATGCTAAAGGATGGTTGATGAAAGATACCTTCTGGGTGTCAAAGTATTTCACCAAGCTGTATTATTAAATATTACTCAAAGGTCTGTATTTCACTTTTTCATGGAGATCATCAGCTAAAGTCAGGTTGGAATGATAAGGTAAAAAAACCAAACATACAAGTTTATAATACATTTATCAAATTATTCTTACTGCACAAACAACGCCTACTGAACAGCTGCATCATGTTCTATTCATCAAATTAGTCACTTTATCTGTTTGATAATCTTATAATAGCCAGCTCTCTTATTGTGTTAAAAAAAGCAACTAAATATTGTGATTATAAACGATGTTACAAAGTGCTTTAGGACATTTGAAAAGATAAGATTTCTCATATTGTCCTGAAATTTGACATCATACGTTTATCTATATGATAATTTTTCTTGTCTTTTTGTTCGCTTTATGAACAGCACCATGAATTGATATATGACAAACAGTTCTCCTCATCCTGCTGATCTAAAGGTTCATCATTTCCATCTGGGAGACAAACGCATCACCAGCTCAGCTCCAGGCAGTGATTCAGACATTAACAGCATTTGAAAAGTGTTTTTTTATGGATGAATAATAATATGACTGACACCACCCAAAAAACCATATTCCGCCAAAATGAAGTCGGCTTTCCGAGAATCACCCTGACTCACTTTAGGATGACCTCAAGCTCCCAGATATCAATTTCAAACTCGCCCCTCCCTTCTTATGAATCCATTCCTCATTAGACTTACTGGATTCAATCCCAACCCTTGAGGAACTGACATATTACATAGAGTCATAAAGAGACGGAATCATGAATACAGTTTATTTTTCTTTCTATCCATGTAATTACATCTACATACACAAAAATATGAACAATCCAAGTTAACGTATAAAATCCAAATTGTATAATAGGGCAGCTTCTTTGCTTCACACAGAGTGAAATCTCGGATAATTCATGGTTTATCATAAATCACAGCCTCTCTGTAAATCTCTGCTGCAGGAGCGATGCTGACCACTTGGTGCCGCTGTTCGGTCACAGCTTTGGTGGAGCAGAAGTGATGGCCCTGCCTTGTAATCCTTTATCTCAACACAGAAATCTGTTACAGCCACAGCAGCCATTGTATAACTGGAGTCATTGGGATTAAACATGCAGATCAATTTGACCGAATTATGATATAACAGTTTATTTGCAGGATTTGTAAACAGGTGAGTTCACAGAGCGGGTTTGTACCGAATCCCGCAAAGGCGGGAGCAATGCTGTGGAGGCCAAGGACTGTACGCTCACAGACACACTGTACTCTCACAGTGACAAACAAGAGTACAGTGCAAATGACTGTTCAAACTCAAGGTGCTCCAGTCAGTGGCATGAATTTATCTCAATGAGTCAGGACGGAGAGAAAAAGTTGTGCCTTCTCTGATTGTGATTGTTTTTCAGAGAAACCAACGTTATGCACGGACAGGCCTGTAAATATGAAGCTGTTTTCAATAGCCTCTTTCTTCCAATATCTAAAATACTTAAACTAAATGTGTCTCTTTGCAAGGACCTCTGATGTTATGATTAACCCCGACTGTCTCCACTGC